CCCCACCCCCACTGGACAGGCTCCCCCCCAGTCCCCCCGCCGCCCTCCTTCACAGGACGGGCTCACCCCCAGACTGCCTTTGATGACAGTAATCTGCCTGGACTCGCAGTGGTTCTCAACCTTCTGGCCCTTTTAAATACAGTTCCTCATGTTGTGACCCAACCATAAAATTATTTTCGTTGATACTTCATAACTGCAATGTTGCTACTGTTATAAATCGTCATGTCAATATCTGATATGCAGGATGGTCTTAGGCGACCCCCGTGAAAGGGTCGTTCGACCGCCAAAGGGGTTGCGACCCAGAGGTTGAGAACCGCTGGCTGGAGGAACAAGCCCTCAAAGGGCGACCACTTAGCCTGGTCCCAGGCGCCCTCTGGTGGCCAGATCGCAGAATGGGGCACGCAGGAGACAGCCCATCCATGATTCTCATCCATGATTCTTATAGTTGATTTCTCTCTCTCTCTCAAATCAATTAAAAATATTTTTTTATTAAAGAAAGCCCAGTTTGGGGGGTGTTCCCAATATGTGCCACCTACCCTCTCTCTAACCTGGCCCAAGAGCAGCCGGGGCCGTTCCCCTCTGCATGGGAGGGGTCAGTTGGTGTCTCAAGGGGTAGAGAGGTGGCAGGGTGGTGCAGTGGCAAGTGCTGAGGGCTGGGGTCAGTGGGTAAGGCATGGGCTCTGCTACTTCTAGGCTGTGTGCAAGCTGCAGACCTCTCTGGGTCCCCATTTCTGGGACGGGGCTGTCACAGGGAGTCACAGGGCGGGTCCTGAGTCCTCCTGGAAGTACCCCAGGCTGCGACGATGGGAGGGCAAGCGAACAAGCACTCTGGGGTTCTGGGCACAGACGATTCACCTTAAAAACGGAGGCCACTTTTCCATTTGGGCTTGCCCATAGTTCGATGTTCGGTTCAATACAAAAGAATGTTTTGCCTGGACAGTGTGGCTCAGTGGTTGAACTTGACCTATGAACCAGGAGATCATGGTTGATTCCTGGTCAGGACACATGCCTGGGTAGCAGGTTCGATCCCTGGTGTGGGGCGTGCAGGAGGCAGCCAATCCATGATTCTCTCTCACCATGGATGTTTCTATCTGTCTCCTTCTCCCTTCCTCTCTGAAATCAATACAAACATATTTATTTTTTACAAGGAATTTTTAAATCGCCTACTTCCCCTACCTGCCTGGACCCTACATATCTGACACTGGCGTTCTAGGAAGAGGCACCTATTTCCTCTACGGTTTCGAGGACTGTGTGTGTGTCACCGTAAACCCCGACGGACGTGCTGCCAATCAGAGGGCCCCTCTGAGGGCAAGACCCTTCCTAACCTCAGTGGGGTGTTCAGAGTGTCTCCCTGACCTGAACCCTATTTCCCAGAGGATATCCCAGAGCCCACAGCCTTCCCCCTGAGAGACAGGGCCCCCACACTCTGGCTGCCGAGGCCTGGGGTGCTGTCCTGACTGCACTGGGGAGAAGACAGGAGTGGGAGCCCACCTCCAGGGCCCTGTCTCTGCCATGTGATCATAACACTCATTGAAGCCCCCAGTTTTCAGTGATTGAGTGAAGGAGCCAGGAGGGCACCCCACCCCCAGGTCTCTCTAGCTCTTCAGCCAGGCCTGCCACTGCGGAGTCACTTTCCCTCTTTAACACCAGCTTCTTTATCGGTAAAGCAGAGCTGACAACGAAAACACCAGCGCCCTCCAAGTTATGCAAGGAAGTGTCCAGCGAGTGTTGCCACTTCTAGCACCGTTTCCCCCAGGACCCAGCATACTGACCCACCCTCATCCCTGCCCATGGGTAGCCCCCTTTCTCTGCTCCCGGCACCGGCACGTGCTCCCTAGCATAAGGCATCGGGACGCTGGCGCATGTGCATAATCAACACTTTAATCATTTCAAAGGTAGGCTTTGAGCAGCCCTGCAGGGTCCTCGCCAGCTGCTATGCCACGGCTGGCTCTGGGGCCGCCGCCCTGACAGGGGACCTGAGAGCTGGGTTCAAGGCTCAGCCCCCGGGCTGCACCGGTCTCCTGGTAGGACCCCACGGCCACAGCGGGTGGGACTCACACTGCCAGAGGCCGGCGGACTTCTTGTGCTAAGGGGTCTGAGGTGCTTCATGCCCTTCAGACTACGAGTGCCCCTCGTGGGATGCCCGCAGGGCCAGGCTGGCCAGCCCAGCAGACAGACATCCCGGGGAGGGAGCCTGGCTCCCTACTCCCAGGTGGGCAGTGGCTTGGGAGCCTTGCAGGGGTGGTGGCTGGCTGATCCGGGGACATTGCTTCAAGTGCACACGAGGCGGCGGCAGGGCCAGGCACGTGCCGGGACGGAGGAGGGTAGAGGTGCAGAGATTGTTCGAGGCGGCCGGGGGAGGTGAGCTGGGGGCTACCAGGTAACCAGCCTCAGCTCGATGGTCTCTCCATCCTTGGGTCTGTAGTCAGCGATACCTGCAGAGACAGGTGGAGCAGGGGTGTTAACAGGCCAAGCCTCCCCCACTCCCCCATCTCATCTTCTGGACCTCCAACTGAGGTCAGGGCCGGTCAGATCTGCTCAGGGCTTGGTGTCCAGAGCCAGGTGACCCTCTGAACTCAGCTGTGACCTGGGGTCCCCGAAGCCCATGGCTTCATTTTGCAGCGGGGCAGCCCCCAGAGGGTGGGGGTAGGGGCAACAGCCCTGGATAACCGACGCAAGGTGAGAGGAACCAGAGACCCGGACGACGCCCAGTGGGCACGGTCTCCATCGTCCCCGAGGGGCTGCCAGGAAAGGGACTGGAGGGAGAGTCAGGATCACCGGGGAAGACTCCAGGAGCCAGCCTCTACTCACTGGAGACAACCCAGGCTCCAGCGTGACGCCTGGGGCCAAGCCCCAGCTCTGTCACTCACTATGGGCGTGACTTTGGCTGGATTATTTCACCTCTGTGAGTGGCTGGATTATTTCACCTCCATTTCTGAAGGAGGGATAATAAAGACATCACTAATGGGGCCTCCCTCTTCCTATGGGGGTGGGCTCCCTGCTGGATTAGAGGGCTAAGGGGTGGGCGGTAGAGGACACAATTACCCACGCCTGCCTCATGGCTGAGTCCACTGCCCACCCCCCGCCCCCCGGGCTACATGGTCCATATCAGTGATAGAGGCCGGATCTGCAGGCGTCGTCTGCGGCGACCCCTTTGTTTAATTTATGAATCAGCTCAGAAGTCAGGCTTCTCCTGGAGCTCCCCCAGAAAGTTCCCACCTTCCATAAAGGACTTGGCTCAGCGGTGGGACATGGTAAGTGCTGACTAGAAGTCCCAGGGAGCAGGAGCAGGGACCGATGGCCTTGAAGAGCCTGTCCGCACCCCTAGGTTCATAGCAGCACAATTTACAATACTGCAGCTAAGATCTGGAGACAGTCTAAGTGCCCATCAGCAGATGAGTGGATTAGAAAACTGTGGTACATCTACACAATGGAATAAAGGGACGACTATGTTGCTGTGAAAAAAACAAAATAAAAAGAAAGAACTCTTACCATCCACAACAGCCTAGATGGACCTGGAGAGCATTATGCTAAGCGAAATGAGCCAGTCGGAGAAAGATAAACATCACGTGATCTCACTCATGTGTGGGACATAATGATCCGCATAGACTGATGAACAAAAGTGGATCCAGAGACAGGGTAGCACTGAGCGGACCGTCCAGCCTCGGAAAAAGGTCGGGGAGGAGGGGTTAGAGATCAACCAAAGGACTTGTGTGCATGCATATTAGCATAACCGATGGGCACAGTGGACGCGGACACTGGGGCGGTGGGGGCTTGTCCTCAGGGGTGGGAGTGGCGGGGTGGGGGTCAAATCGGGGGTCAAATCAGGGGATAAAGGAGACATGTAATACTTTAAACAATTCAAAAGAAAAGAGTCTATCTGGTGACTGGGCTGCGGCACAAGGATGCTCATGACAGTTTGGGGCAGAAGATGTAAAATTGGAGACAGCCTAGCGGTCCACCCATCCCTCTTCATCCCCCACCTTTCTTTCTTTCTTTCTTTCTTTTTTTTGCTAATTCTCACTCGAGGATATTTTTTCCATTGATTTTTAAGGAGAGTGGAAGAGAGAGGGAAAGACAGAGAGAAACATCGATGTGAGAGAGACACATCGATCGGTTGCCTTCTGCACGAGCCCCGACCAGGGCCCGGGCCGGGGAGGAGCCTGCAAGCTTGAGCGTCAGTGACTATGTGAGGCTGGGGCTCAGGATGGTTCGAGGGAACGCTGGGGTGAGTTGTCAAAGCCTCGCTTTGGGGGCAGGGCTGGTGTGGGGGGCACACCCAGAGGTGGCCGGCCACCAGACTCACCTTGCTGCAGCGGGGTGTCGGGGGCTCGGACGAGCTGCCAGAACTCACGCTCTCCGGCTTCTTTCCCCATCACAGAGGTCAGGTAGGGGCCTGACAAGGAGGCCTGGGTTCCGTACCTACCAAAGGGATAGGCAACGAGGGAGAAAAGGTGACTGTGGCTCCCAGTGACCCAAGGACAGAAGTAGAGCTCAACCCACACTAGGAAACTCAGGGCCCGGGCTAGCCAAACCCTTCCTGGCCACCGTGCCATGGGTGTCACCTCCACCCCTCCTCTCCAGCCCCACTGTCACTGCCCATCAGGTGACTTCATCCCCTCTGTGCTGACCATGACCATGGCCTGCAGGAAGGACACCTATTACATCATCAACCCCACAGCTGGGCCCTCTCTGAGGGTTGATGTTGAAGGGGTGAGAATCCGAAGCTGCCAGCATCACATAAAATGCCAGTGAGAGAGGGCGAAGCCAGTGTGCAGAGAGAAGCTGAACATGGGGGATAGAGGCACATGGTGGTAGCACTGGGTCCCTGGTTCTGGAAGGTTCTGTGGCTCAGGGGCCACCCCCTCTTCCTGTGGCTGGGTTGCTCAGTCTTCTCTCTGACTCTACATACGCCATGCTCCTCGTTATCAGGGAGCACTGGAGTTCGATTTCTCTTTTTAACATATTTTTATTGATTTTAGAGAGGAAGGGAGAGGGAGAGAGAGAGAGAAACATCAATGATGAGAATCATTAATCAGCTGCCTCCTGCACACCCCCCACTGAGGAATTCAAGCCCACAACCCAGGCATGTGCCCTTGACCGGAATCGAACCTGGGACCCTTCAGTCCACAGGCTGACACTTACAATTCCATGGGCCATGCCCCTCCTCTCTCCAAAAGGCTGATCAATGCTTTGGGTCTTCGGGAGAGAGGGTTTTTATAATTTTAAGAAACAGCAACCCATCCAGGGTGACTTAAGCAAAGGGAAAGCAATGTTTTAGGGCGGTGTCACAAAGCCGCCCCCCCCCTTTCCCAGTCATCTCCTTACTCTGTGGGGCCACAGGGTCCCTAACATTGTGGGGGGGGACACATGGCTGCTCAGCACTTCTCTCTGCACACTGTCTGTCAGTTTTTCTCTCTTCTCTCTCTGTCTCTGTCTCTCTCGCCTGAAATTTCCTGGGTCCAGATGACCCCACGGTGCCAGCGCTGGGCCCTCCCTGTCCGTTGGGAAATCCAACTGGGCCTTCTCACACTGGGGCACATCTTTCTGGAGGAGAAGTCTGGGGCTTGGGTGACTTGAAGGAAGGCACTCAACTTCTCTGAGCCGGATTCCCCACTGGTAACATGAGAAAACCCCCATCTTATTGAGGCGTGACCCCGTTTCAGGGATGCGGGGTTGGGTGGGGTGAGGGCCGAGAGGTGGTGGTGGGGGTGGGGGTCTCACATGAATCCTCCGAGCTCCTGGGCCGTCATCAGAACCTCTTCCAAGGAGGACCCAGCGGGCACGGAGATGGAGTGTCTGTACGGTGGCCAGACACTGGGCACCTTCAGCATCACGTGGATGAACTCTGGGACTTGCATCGGTGAGGGGGTCACCGTGGCTGGCTCCAACGTGACTGTCCCCGGGAGAGAGGAAGTGTCAGCCGGTGTGAGGGCGGGGCGAGGGGGGGTGCTGGGTGTGAGTTCTCCTTTCTTCCCTTGAAGACACTGGGACCCACCAGGACCTCCTCCTTCCTATGGTCCCATCTCCGTCAACACCACCGCCGCCTGCCCAGCTGAAACCTGGCTGCCAGCCCAGCCCCCATGTTCCCAGCCCCCCAAGATCAGGCCCCTCCATGGTGTCTCTGCCTCCAGGATCCCCCCTCCCACCAATCAGGGGGCTCTTTCTAGAATCTGCATTTGCTCAGATCGCTCCCCTGTCCTCTCTGAGGGTCTCCTCTCCTTTGCATTCCCCTGCCTGCCACTCCAGACCATTCTTCCAGGCCCCACTCGTCACCCCAATTCCAGTCTTTACACCTCTGTGCCTCTGCTCCTGTTGCCTCTTCTCTTCTCTGCCCTCCCTTTTGTCTTCGCCACCTGCAAATCCCACTCACCAACTCAAGTCCCTCTCCCAGAGGAAGCCCTGACTTGGGCTGCTCGCTGGGACTCATTATCTAGGTATATAAAAGCCTAAGTGACCGGACAACTAAACAACCAAATGACCAGCCAACCGGTCTCTATGATGCACACTGACCACCAGGAGGCAGATGCTCAATGCAGGAGCTGCCCCTGGTGGTCAGTGTGCTCCCACAGCCAACCTCCTGTGGCTGGCCAACCTCCCGCAGTCCCTCCTCCCAGCCAGCCGGCCCCCAATCAGGCCTGATCGCCGGCCAGGCCGAGGGACCCCACTCATGCACGAATTCGTGCACTGGGCCTCTTGTAATGTATAAGAGCTAACCAAAATGTGTCACTCCCCATCCATCCATCCATCCATCCACTCACTCACTCAAACATTTATCACAGAAGGGCGGGAGACTCCTGGCCTGCCCAGAGCTCTCCATTTGGTGTCTCCCTCCCAACACTGTGAGCCGCTGGAAGCTGTGACCACATCTTAGCTGCCAGTGTGCCCCACGTACACTCACAGAGGCGGGTCAGCCAGCAGGGAGAAGCCAGGTCTCCCGGCGCCTGACGAGCCCGCCTTCCACCAGCCACCAGCACGAATTCGTGCACTGGGCCTCTTGTAATGTATAAGAGCTAACCAAAATGTGTCACTCCCCATCCATCCATCCATCCATCCACTCACTCACTCAAACATTTATCACAGAAGGGCGGGAGACTCCTGGCCTGCCCAGAGCTCTCCATTTGGTGTCTCCCTCCCAACACTGTGAGCCGCTGGAAGCTGTGACCACATCTTAGCTGCCAGTGTACCCCACGTACACTCACAAACCCCTGCTGACCCGGCAAATTGGGACCAAACAACCGC